GAATGGTCATCACGAAGGTTTCACAGAGAAGGGGGCATCTGAACTGAGCCTGAGGAACAAGGAGGAATACTCCAAGGGGAGCTGGAGGGGAAGCCCAGGAAGAAGAAAGAACAAGAGCAGAGGCACGGGGGTGTGAAAGGACACGCCCATGTGGGATGGGGGATTAGCTCAGGGAGGGAAGAAGCAGAGTGTACAGGGAAGGGAGTAGGCACACCTCGCGTCAATCTGATTTAGTGCTTGTTCCTTGACACTGATAAATAAATTTGCCTGATATCCATCTCATTACCAATGCCGGCATTGGAGCTACTCCCAGAAGATTCACTTCAGTGCCATTTACAGATAAAAATAAGAAAAACCAAGAGATTTTTTCTTTCCCTATAAGAAAAACGTTTGGTTTGAAAGATAGGTCAGGGCTCATTAGTAGGGATCCAAGAGCAATCTGTGCAGACGTCTTATGCAACAACCTAATTAAATTCCATGGCAGATGATGTCACCTATATATGCCCTATAAATGGAGCAGTGTTTCAGGTGCATCTCAGCGATTTATCTGCACGAGCATCCAGTGGTACAAGAATGGCTGTCTCAGTACTTCAGCTGACAATTGTCCTGGGACTGCTTTTCTTAATCCTGACCTGCCAGGCAGGTAAGTGCTTCTGATCACAGCCCGTGGACTGTGCAGTGGTTAGCAGTGATTGAAGAAAGTTAGTGACACTGATCTAGAACCTAAAAGGACGGAGGGGCCTGTGGGCACCACAGAAAGAGGACTGGACTGAAGACAAGAGCTGTACCTTCTAACACAAACAAAGTAGGATTTTTATTAAAATCTGCTTCAGTTATAACCTCTATTCTCAGTGAATGTATGAAGTTTGAGATGATTTTTTCTTATATATTCATACGATATAGTGACAATACCATATTATAAATTCCTTGGGAGCTAGGGGATATTTAATTTTTAATGATTATAGCTAATAATGTTCAATGATGAAGAATATGTTGTCTGGAATAAGACTGCTAAGCCTGGCTCTACCACTAATCAGAAATGTGACTTTAGACACACTATTCAACCTCTCTACACCTCAGACATAAAAGGGAACATTTAACATTCTCCTAAAGTTATCATAAAAATTAAATAAAAGAGATAAAACACATTGGAACAGTACCTGGTCAATAATAAGCATGCAGTAAATATTAACTGTTATTGCTGTCATGTATAAACGCATTTGAGTTTCATTTCAGTTTCCTATTAAGTAAACCTGCACGATTTTAGCATTTCCCTTTTTATAGGTTAATGAACTCAGCTTGCAGAGGGAAAGTTTCTTGAGTATAGATACAGGTGGAAGTAGTACCTGGGAGTGAAGCCTACCTTCCTAGAGTCTTTCCGTCATAACTGAGCATCTACTTCTTTCCTATCTGGTCTACTTACACAGAGGACCAGAAGGCAGCACGCAGCATTCTCATTAATTAGTTTATTTTTTTGTCTGCAAAAGACTGTGAGCTCCTGACTTATCTCTATTCAGAATAATAGGTCAAAAACACAGACAGTGCAAACATTTAGTAACGGTCCTTTGAATGTAAGTTGGCAGAACAATACACAGGCAGACACTACAACAGAATCACTCTAGGGATGGCCGCAGAAATTATTGTGTCCACTCTACTCCTAAAGTAGTCACCACAGTGAAGTGAAGGTGAAATTTGGGCTGGATATTGTGGCTCATGCCTGTAATCCTAGCCCTCTGGGAGGCTGAGGTGGAAGGATCTCTTGAGGTCAAGAATTCCAGACTGGCCTGAGCAAGAGCGAGACCCAGGTCTCTACTAAGATAGAAAAAATCAGCCAGGCATCATGGTGCATGCTGGTAGTCCCAGCTACTTGGGAGGCTGAGGCAGGAGGATCGCTTGAGCCCAGGAGTCTGAGGTTGCAATGAGCCATGATCGTACCACTACACTCTAGCCTGGGTGACAGAGTGAGACTCTGTCTCAAAAATAAATAAATAAATAAAAGAAAGGTGAAATTTGACATTGAAGACCCATCCTAGATGTATCTCTCATGACCTCTGAAGCTGTAGTTAAGTCAGTTTACTACTTTGAACCTCAATTTTTTCATCTGTCAAATGGGATAATAATCAACTGTACCAGATCAAATGAACAGACTTTTATAATCACCTTGTAAACCATAAGAACCATGCAAATGTCAGCAATACAGATATAAATTCCGAACAAATACAGTATGTCTGTATCTGTTTATATTGTCAATATTCTTTACATTCACTCTGTCTAAGAAACTCAACCAAGTAGTTATTATAAATAAAGGCTATCCAGACCAGGCATAGTGGCTCACACGTGTAATCCTAGCACCACCTTGGGAAGCTGAGGCAGGAGGATTGCTTCAGGCCAAGAGTTCGAGACCAGCCTGGGCAACATAACAAGACCCCATTCCTACAAAAAATCTTAAAAAATAGCTGGGCGTGGTGGCACACATCTGTAGTCCCAGCTACTCAGGAGGCTGGGGCAGAAGGATCGCTTGAGCTCAGGAGTTTGAGGTTACAGTGAGCTATGATGATGCCATTGCACTTAATTGCAGGTGACAGAACAAGACATTGTCTCAAAAAAACTAAAAAAAAAAAAATCCTATCCTATATTATACTTGAAAAGAGAAAATGTTTAACTATTGGCTTTGGTGATTTGTTTCTAGAATATCAAATTTCTTTAAAATTTAAAAGCATTTTTTAAGATTTTTATAATCTCCCAAGGCAATAGAGAACAATGTGAATTATAAATCATTTTGTTGCTATTATTATTAATAATAGTAATAATAATACAGCAAACATTTATTGTGAGCTTACCTTGTACTGGTACCCTGATAAGTGATGTGATGATATATATACACACACACACATATATATATACACACATACACATATATATGATATATAAAATATCTTTCAATCCTGACAACACCACAATGAGGAAACTGAGAGACAACGGTTAAGTGTTGTGTGCAAGGTACATGGCTAATTTTATTTGAAGACAGGAATCAGGTCTATAGGACTCCAAAGCACATGATCCACCACACTCTCAATATCTTTCAATATATATGTGGCCCACAGGCTGAGGCCAAGAACCTGATCTTCACCCACTCTAATCCCAGGCTCCCTGCATACTGAAAAGCTAGCACTTAGTGTCATATTAAAATAAAAGGTCAATAAAATTAAATTGTTATGCAAGTAGGTAGTTAAGAACACAGAAAAAACGAACTCACCTTTCATGCAAGAAATTATTGTTTTGCACTTGGCAAATGTCTTCAGAGAACAATCACTTGGAGTTTGTATTATATCATGTGAGTAACGCGCTCTGTGGAGTTAAAAACATTCGGCCACCTGGCTCAGTCACTTTCTAGATGAGTGGTTTTAGGTGAGTCATTTAATTTCCCTGAGTATCTGTGTTCTTTTCTATAAAACCGTGATATGATTACTGAGGATTAAGGCGGGTGATGAAAGCACTAGCCCAGCACCTGCACGATACGTACCCCCATAAGTGAGCTCTGTTTACTTTTTCCATGATAAAAACAAACCAATTCTTCTGGGCACTCTGGCTGCCCAGTACTTTATGTGAGGGTCATATCTATATTGGTCCCTTTTTACCTTAACTCTTACCATAGCTATACATGTAATGGGAGGCTCAGAAAATACTTTTTGAATGAAAGGACCCACAGCTGAATGAATGAATACCTGATGATTAGCATTCTGATTTTGTTTGTAAGTCTCAGACTGGTGCTCCTGTCAAATCTTTGGTGGTGGCCCAGTAAACAATGAATGTCCGCAAAATTGCATGACAATCTTTTTACGAATAGTTTCTATTTTAGGATATAATCTAGATGTAAGGCTTCTGACATAATTTGACAGCCTCCACACAAAGGGTAGTTACATCTTCATCCAAAGTCATGGGTACATTGTCTAGAAGTTGGGACTTCGTGGGTCGAAACTTATGGTGGACTTGCCAGATAAAATACAAGACACCCAATTCAATTTGAATTTCAGATAATCAATGAATAATCTTTTAGCATAAGTGAGTCCTAAATATTGCATGGATCATTCTTATAGTACTAAAAATGTATTCGTTGTTTATGTGAAATTTAGATTTAACTGGCCATTCTGTATTTTTATAAACCAAATCTGGTAACACTATCTGTTAGGCTTCAATAAAACCAAAAACTAGAAGACCTACTTCATCCTGTCATCAGGGTCCAGAGGGGAGGCCACACATAGCTGCTGTCATTCTTCCATCTCTTCTCTTCTCCTGAAAATAAAGACGACTAAGCAACATCAACACACTCCAAGGGACCTTGCATTTAACCAACCTCACTCTCTGCATCCTTGGCCCTTGATCCAAAGGGCACTTGATTAACAGTCAAGTGTAGAGGACTGCAGTAACATTCATTGGCTGGAGGGCAGGTGGGAGGGGGGAGGAGGGGATGGGTATATTCACACCTAATGCGCACCATCTGGGGGATGCACACACTTGTAGCTCCGACTTGGGTGGTGCAAAGGCAATATATGTAACCTAAACATTTGTACCCCTGTAATATTCTGAAATTAAAAAAAATTTTTAAAAATGCTACCCACAGACATTTTGTCATTATTATTATTGCCACAGGCAAGCTATATTTCAATCCTGGCACCAGCACTTACTGTTTAACTCTGGGAAAGCTACTTAACCTCTGTGAGCATCAGTTTTCTCACTCACAAAATGGAGCCCATGTCTACCTAAGCATCAATGTCTGTCGGTCTGTTTCTCTGTTTTTAGGAATAAATGAGATAATGCATGTGAAGAGTTTAACCAGGCGGACATTAGATGTTCAATGAATATAACTATATAAGGCTCCATAATTAGTGAGGGGGGTACTAAGGGCCCCAAGTCTTCCCTGCATGGAAAAGAGACTTCCTTGTTGCTAAGAATCACCTCTGAGATTCTGTTCTGTTTTTCAGATGATAAACCAGATAACAAGCCAGAAGACTCAGGCAAAAGCCCAGAGCCAGATTTCCCCAAATTCCTAAACATCCTAGGCACAGAGATCATTGAGAATGCAGTCGAGTTCATCCTCCGCTCCATGACCAGGAGCACGTAAGCACTGAGACAAACCTTGCTTTTTGTCCACTTTGCTGTTGGTAATGACCACATCACATTAAAATGAATGAGAAACAAAATTTGTGGCACGTGCAAATGTATGCTTTTTTACTGAAAAATGTTGCCTCGCTTTAAGATATGTTTTGCACGTGAATGAATTGCCTTGAACTCTTCCGGGTTGAGCACATTCCCATCAAGTGGTTCCGTACAAAATTGTTCATCTTGGGACCAGACAGGGAGGAGGAGGGGCATTGCACCAGGTGACAGAAAGCCAAGTCCTGGTCCTGTCTCAGGTGCTCTCTCACTGCATGGTCTTGGACAAAGCCCTCCCTCTCGAGTGTCTCTGTTTACTCATCTGTAAAGTTAAAGGAAGAGAGCCTCCCCCACCCCATGCAAGCACTGTGGTTATATGGCGAAGGCAGGGGTAATGATAGGTTCATTAGAGACGGGGAGGGGTGAGCCCTGTCTTTATTTTCTAGCTTGAATATCTCGAGAGGCTTAGCAGAGACAGTAGATCATCTCTCGCTGGAGACAATCTAGAGACCCTCTCGGCATGAGTGTTAGTTTTGATCATAAGGGATTGCCTTAGGGCACCCCAACCCAGAGGCTTCCCAGTGTTCTCAGCCTGCATCCAAGCCCCTGTGCCCAATTCCTAATGCATCTTTTTCCAGCCTACATAGCTCCAATTTTATATTATACTACTACTTCACCCTAGTCTTAACTCTCCCCATATTAACCTTCCGAATTCAGTACTCCAGGATCAAATTCCCTCTTTAGAACTTCCAGGTCCTTTTAATCTCCATCACTTTAGCCCTCTGCTCTCTAAGTTTTACTTTCATAGCCCCCTAAGCAGAATTTTACTAAGTGTGGTTTATTACCTACCTGTTTTAGAATCCCCTGAAGAACTTACCAAAAAAATGCAGGTTTCTCCATTCTATCTTGCATCCCCCTGGGGGGCAAGGCTATGGGCATGCTTTTTAACAAGATTTCCAGGTGATTCTGATGAACAGAAATTTTTGAAAGCTATGTCCTTAATCAGATGCTCTAGACTACATGGATGGGCCTTAAATTTCCATATAGCATTTACATTTTTATTTGTATTTTATATAGATGAGAATTTTTGCATTTTGCTGGAGAAAGTATTTCTGACTTCTATTAAATTCTCAAAGGGGTCTATAACCAACAAAAGATTAAGAACCACTTCTACATATTAATAGAAGTGATGGGGGTCTTCTTGTAATCACTGATCTGCCTAAATCAATTTATTATCATCTGGCTGGACAGGTGATGCATGCAATCCTTCTCCACAAATTATTAAGCTCACAGGTGTTTCTTTTTTACTGTTACATTTCC